TCCCTTCGACTGACATTGATAAGGACTGCAATAAGCACAGAGAAGCCACCCCATTTATATTGTCTGCATTGGCATGGATGACACCATTAGACACCAACGGCCCAAAAGTGCATCCTCTCTTGTGAAGTGACGAGTCAGTTTTGAGCTTTGACCAAATGCGCTACTGGTTTGAAGCAGGAGGATGAAGGTTGTAGTTGGGCCCCCTCAACATTTATCCGGCCATGGCACCTTCGTAAGTTGACTTGTGGATGATCTACCTTTGGCTGGAACACAGAAGCAGGGCAAGGCATTGTCAGTGTACAGCAAAAATTCTGGGGATAAGGGAAACAGGAAATTCTATTTGGTGAATCTCAGATTTCAGTGAATAGCAGATATTTAGTTTGGCTAAATATGTGCCTGCAGATTAGTCGGATTTGAGAAAAAATCATGGAATTAATGAATCATGAATGCTTAGATTGAATGAATGCATGTTGTGATTCTTCATTGGTCAGGCTGGACAAATCTGCATGCATGTATTCAGGCGCATCAAAAATTGCCACGTCAAATGCTCGCAAAACAGAGGCTCTGTCATCGTTTGAAAAGTAAAAAATAGTCTGCAAAAAGAACTAATACTCATCTGTCCTGCTTCCCTTTCCTCTGACCAAAAACTACCACCTCCATCGCCTGTCATGGGTTGTTGTTCCCCTTGCTCTTATATCACTACTGTGTCCTGTTGTGACATAGGGGCAGGCAGACACAGTGCCTGGTGGGGGACCAGTCATCTAACACATCTGGATGTGTGTCAGATTTAAAGATTCTGCCAGAGACGGTAGCTCTGAAACAGAGCCAAGATCAGCGGAAGTAGTGGCAGAGCAGTTTAGTAAAAAAATTTTTTTTTTTTTTTACTTTTCAGCCAGACAGGTACTCTTTAAGATCAAACTACAGATTTTTTTTGTTTTATTTTGGATAAAGTAGGGTTAAAAGTCATTAAAGTAGAACACATATAAAGGAGATAACACACAGTAGCGTGAGAATTATTTATAAAGGAAGATTATGAGGACAAGTTGGTCTTAGGACATGGTGGGGTAATCAACACGTAGTTATTCACAGGGAAAGGCAAATGTATTTTAGAGGGGATATCTAGATATAGAAATCACATTTAGGTTTCTCAACACAGGTTAGTAGGAAGGTAAGGGGGAGGGCTAGGGGATAAATGAGAAACAACATATTTCAATTAGAACACACATACAGGTGAGTGGGATTTATAAAGAAAGGATTAAGAGGGCAAGTTGGTCTTAGGACTTCGTGGGGTCATCAATATCGAAGGGGCTATATGGATTCACCTTGTGATCATATTCCCCCTTCTCTCTCTAGAACATGATGTGTTAGTAGAATAAATGTGAGCAGAGTGTATAAGAGAAGAAATGGAGGATAAGAGACTGGCAATGCTAAATGCTTGAATATAGTTAAGACGATTGTAAAGTAAAGTAGAAGATATTTATATAGAGAGATATATGGTTATGTCATTTATGAGATAAAAGGTATAGTAATCTGTGATCCCACTGGGAGATTTTTTCCCCCTAATTTCCAGCACCTCTGTTACCTAATCAGGAAATGGGGGGGAAACGACTGCCACTGGGACAGGAATACACGAACATCAATAAAAGCATTGACAGAGATTATAATCCTACTCTACTAAAACTTTGTCTTTTTCTGTGTCCCCTATCAAGACATTTACTATCACATTCTTTCATTACAGGAGGAAAATATCTCCAATAAGGATGCATTGCAGATGACAATAGAAACCTGACAGAAGCTCTAACTTTCCCCCTCTATCAAAAGAAAATAATAAACCTTGGCTGGAGTTAGACTTCTTTGAAAAGTATAGGCTAATGGAGTCAATGAATTTGCATCATACTACCATAACTAAATTCCCTGTTTTATTGATTGATGAAGTGTCACTTTACACTGAATATCTTGCACATTTACCATGTGATGCTAATTAAATGGCAATGTATTTAGCAAATCAAGGAATACTGCAAAGTGTAGCAACCACAGACAATAGATCACGAGCAGCTCACTGCAGTCATACTAATTAAAATGATCTCCTACAACATTTTAGACTTAGTAAAACAAAGGTATAACGTACAGTAAGAGTGAAAGGAATTTGCTTAGAATTGTTACCTGTATCAGGGTCACATAAGTGCTCACAGGGGTCCAGTATTCTCTTTGCACAAAGGTCTAGTGCCCAAGGGCCACTGGAGTTCATCTGTGAGAAGAGCACCACCTGGGCAGGGTTCAGCCAGTCACTGGCATCTAACTGGCTTCCCTCCAGTAGGATAAAACGGCTGCCTAATTAAGAGAAAGATCAAAATGATTCACCATTTTCATAAAACTTTTCTCTATAGACTAATAGGAACATTTAAGGTTGATCCACAGGGGCATGTTTTGAAATACGTTATTTAAAGAAATGTAATCTTATACTTTCTTTTAGCTTTATTGTACATTAATAATTCCTCTGGAACATGGGCAAAACACAGATATACTAAAAATCACCTTTTTATTCAACTGTAGCGGGATAGGGTTAGTGGGATTATAGATAGCACCGGACAGTTTTGACTGACAATTCTTAGACAGCCATATTGACCCCTACAGTTTAGGTAATGCACGCTGGACTGTGCATTACACAGCCCTGTATTCTGTGTTATACACAGTAAGGACCCCCTCACTCTGTGCATTATGCACTGCTGACCCGCACACTATATACACTATGCTGTACATTTCATACTCCTGACCATTACACTTAGTACAACCTGACACCAACACTCTTTATGCTATTTTGCACATGAAATACTCTTGAACAAAGTGTTTATTGTCTAAACAGTTGCTGGTTTCTAATTAGTCACCGACTATTTTAATGAAGGTTTTTTTTTAAGGTAGACTCGGATAATGTGTTAGCCCTTTATTCTTTGTGCGGAAAAGCATCCGTAATGGAAGAGTTTCATTCTTTCATATTGATTGGGTTTATGTTTATACATGTCTGTGAGACTCTCATTTGTGGCACAGTAACTCAAACTTATTCTGTGGGTACAAGGACTGTGGCACATGTGTGTGGTGTATACAATGAGCAGGCTTAGGTTTAATTTTACCATACCCCTTTAAGCATCACGTACTGTTATTACACCATTCAACACAGTGGGCATAGCTCTCTGCCTGCTCCCCATCTTTTGGGTGCTGAATGGTGCCCCAGGTTTGTGACAATCCTAGCAATGTGCCTGATCTGAACACCCTCAGCAATTTCCTCTGGCCAATCCTGTGACAGAACGAACCTACTATTTACTATGGACCAATAAAGCTGGAGCTGGTTGGCCCAGCTCACTTAACTTAAAGTGTTGTGTATGGCCAAATCATGTTACCTAAGGATTATTCAATGCATACAATACTATCTTATGTGGAATTAGATATACAGTATTTGCATTACAAATAAAGTAACAAAATGGGCAACATTTCTTTTATAAATAAAAGTGTCACTTTAATGTTTTGGTAATGTTTCAAGCTTTTGCTCTCCCAAATATATCAAAGTGCCATCAAACTGACAGTTTTGAGGAATGTTTTTGTTACAATCTTTTACTTACCATCAGCAATTAGATGTTCTGGCACATGGAGGGTTATCCTAACTATCAATGGGCAGCTGATATGAGATGAGCAAACCAGACCAATAACACAACTGGTTATGCTTAGGAGTGTTAGTGTCATCTTGTTCACAGGACTTCGGGGCGAACCAACTGTAGACAGAACAGAATAATGACAGACCCTAGAGCTACATAACATTGAACTGAAAATTATAAAAGACTGTACAATAAAAATGTAATATTTTCTGATAAGGTCAGTCCACCGGAATACTTTTTTAATTTCAGGTTTGCATAAGTGACATTTTTGGTTAAAAGGAAAGTTTAGAGGGAAGTAACAGGTGTACTTTAGAGAAGGGAGATAAGGACACAAGCTTACTTACCTTTCATCCATAGCCCCATAATCCTTTTCACATAACAGAACCAGAGAAAAGCATGGTACATCTGGATATGGAAAATGTGTATAAGAGGTGCTGGATTTTGTTCTCAGTGTTTTAAGATTTTAGAATGTATTTCCAGTATATGGAGCACAGTGGCTCTGGTAAGACTGCTGGTAAGACTGGTGCTCTGACTAACTCGAATCAGAGCACCAAACCAATGATTAAAGAGTCCACATAGGCTTTTATTTCTTCATTTTGGGTTGATGTTAAACATCCAAAATGTTTTGGGGGTTCTGGATCTCCACCTTCATCAAGGCTTGGAATTTGCATACACTTAAAATGGGAGGACTAACTTTAGGTTAATTATTGAAAGAGATAGACAGAATAACAGTTGTCAAGTGCAGTATTGTTGTGGCTAATTGAAAGTGCATATACAGGTTATTGCAATTGCTGCACTTGACAACTGTTATCCTGTCTATTGGGGTTATTCGCTAAAGAGCCGAAAGATATAGCTGTTAGCCATAGCTAATCCTTCGGCTCACTTTGGCTGCCGGAGCCCCTCAGTTCAGCTGAACCCAAGGGCTGCTGTAGGGGCTATTCACAATAGCCCCTACAGCAGCCAAACAGCTCAGTCGAGCCAAACGCATAAGCTTCGGCTTGGTTGAGCCAAACACACAGCCGAAGCGGGGAAAATTGTTTTCTGGTTTTGCTCCGCAAATGTAAACAAAGAAAACAGCGCAGGGCCCCCCTCCCGATCCATACCAGACCCTTTTGGTCTGGTAGGAGAGTTAGGAGGGACCTCAAGTTAAAAAGTAGAAAAAAAAGTGTGGGGTTTCCCCAAAAGTCATAGCAGGCCCTTTAGGAATCTTAAGGTGGGAACCCCACCCCCTAAAAAATGGGTTGGGGAGTGGGGTATCCCCTAAAATTCCCAACCAGACCCTTAATCCAAGCACATGCCTGGCTTGCTGAACCAAAGGGAGTCGAAGCCAGCCGATGTACTCGACTGAAGTGAATAGCCAATCAGGGTTTGGCTCTCTTCACTTTGGCTCAGTTATTCACTTGGCTGCCTGGGCAGCTTAGTGAATAACCCCCTATGTCTTGCAATAATTAACCTAAACTGAGTCCTACCATTTCAAGTTCATGCAGATTTTTAAGCCCTGATGAAGGGGGGGGGGGGGGGG